CCACCCTCCACTCTCTCCAACGCCACCCTCCCACTCGTCCCTGCTACTCCAAGTACCACCCCACACCACCGTCGCGTCAGCGAGCTTGCATTATCATTACATATATTTCGATCGCCTAGTTTTCGGTAGGTCGGTGTCGGTCGGTCCATGAGCATTACTGGGTGACTTGAGCTCGCTCAATGAGGCTAGCCCGTTATTTCGGAAATGAGTCATGCCTTTTTACCAGATTTGTCAACATCATGCATACCAGAGCAATGTGTGTGTGTGTGTGTGTGTGTTTGTGTGTGTGTGTGCGCGCGCGCGCGCGGGTGTGTGTGTGGCTGTGGCCGAGCGCAAGGAGGGCAAGATACGAAATTTCAGTCTGCATCCGATTCCGATTCCAAGAATGACTGATTCCCGTTGACTCCCGCTGCGGTTCTCGTTGGTTCCTGCGTGATTCCCGGGGCCGGTGTATTGTACACATGATTCCGAGAGTCACTATGCCCGCTTTGGCGGTGCGCGCTCAATAATGCCAAATTCCTGCCGAGCAATATGCTTTCGCAGAATTGCCAAGGATTTCGATCGATTTGTGGTTGGAACCCCCCGACGTATGACTATCTGACTAGCTGTTCAAAATGTGCCAAAAAACCTACCAGTTTCCCCCACATCTTCGCATGCTAAATCCTTATGCATTGTGTTGTGCATAAACATGCAGAATTTTATATACAGCCATCACATTGTGCACAATTTTATGTAACTATGTACAGTTTGTGAATAATTATGCACAATTTAATTTGTACATAATTATGCATAAAAAATTGTGCAAAAATTCCTGCCTGTTTATGCTCAACAAAATGGTTTAGTGTGTTCTCTACGGCAGGAGGCTTGTCCACCATGCTGCGTAGCAGCTCCCTCTCGCTCACTTTGTTCTTTGCGTAGGACACACGTTGCGCAAGGTCCTTCGGCCCAACTCAAGGCCTGCCGCGGGCCCTTCCCCGCCGGAGCCGCTCGCGCGCTCTCCTTCCCACTCCGCTGAGGATTTAAAAAAAAAAGAGGCGCAGTTACCGGCTCTACCACTAGGGCTGGAAACCCTGAAAAGTTTCCGGGAAATTCCAGGAAAATTCCAGGAAAAATTCGAGAAAAGAATGAAAATTTCCTAGACTTTGGAAATTGTTATTATTTCCTGGGAATGTTTGGGAAATTTTCAACCCTGACTGTCACCGCCGTTAAACTAGACTTAGTTACATCACTCTTCAGGAATTGCAGGGCCGGTTTGGTCCGCAGGGAGGCTGGCCCTCCTTCCTTGACCTTTATTATGGTATGATGCCTCACTCTGGCTCGTTTCGGAAAGAATGCCGGCATGTTGGCATGGCATGATATTGAAGTGGCCGGCGAAGAGACGCGGACTGTGCGCGCGCTGTGCGGCCAGGGGCTGTGCACAGGGAGGAAGGGAAAAAAATGGGGGAAGGGTCCTCCTCTCTGGAGCTGGCGAGGGCGAAGGCTAACAACTGGAGGGGTGGCGCCGGGAGTGGCGGGCCGGGGCGGGCGGGGTAGGGTGGGGGCGAGGCGACAAGCACGGGAGTATTGTGAGTGGTCGGGGCCCTCTGAAGGCCCCCGCACTGTCCCGGACGCGACGACGCCGCTGCGCACTCCTGGATGAGATGTGCGGTTCGTGTAGGTACACTGCACAACGAAAGGGGAGGAAAGGGGATGAGGCGGGACAACGACGACGACGTGTTGTGTTGTCCTCGTGTAAAAGACCTTGGCTCAATGGCAAAGATGTTATTTATGCTGTGTAACAAAAGGAAGTTACAACCGAAACTAGAAACAATGTTGTTTTTTTCTTCGTTCAAAAACAAATCAGTGACAATAAAAAATGAAAAAAAAAAAGGGAAATTGGTTTTATGACAGTGTGTGTAAAGTGTCCCTTTGCGCGCGGCGGCGGCCCCATCGTCGCGGCCTCGGGACGATTCTAATGGGCTTCGCGGTGAAAGCCTGAAAGCCTAAAGCGCTGACACGGGCCCCAGTGGGGCGGGGCGGCTCGGGGCGGGGCGGGGCGGGGCCGCGAGCAGACGGCATGCGTAGAGCGTACACGTCCGCGCGGTTCTTTCTTTTTCTTTTTTTTTATCTCTCCTTTTCCCGCCGCTCGTTTCGAACTTTGTTTACGACCTTAAATCACGCAGCTGCTGTAAATCTGTCGGGGGGAACACACCCCCCTCGCCCGCGGAGCCCCCTCCTTTTGCGGTCCACATCGATCTGGCCTTCCGCGGGAGAGACTTGCTTCGCCTCCTTAATGCCCCACTATTAGACATTTTCAGTTCGCCGTTTTATTTATTGTGTGGCGTGTGTGTGCGTGCGTGCGCGCGCGTCCGAGAGTGCGTTTATTTTGGACAAAAACAGCAGCTGTTGTCGTTGCTGACATTGTTGCTGTACCGGGTGATTCAGAGAAGACGCAGGTGCGGGCGGGTTTGCCTACCCAAGAGACCATGGTTCCTTACGGGCAGAGCGGGTAGGCAAATTCTGGGTCTTCTCTGAATCACCCGATACGTGCTTTGGAAAGAACTGTTTAAAACCACGGCACGTTCTGGTCAAGTCAAGTCCTCTTTGCCTGCTCGAAAGACGGTGATAGGTAAGGTATAAGCTGTTAAGGTACACACGGCATACTGGGTGTAACTATGAATACGCAGCAGTGTTGCGGGATTGCATACTCAATATCGCCGCAGTGGCCCAGGCGCCTTACGGGTGTAAAGAGTAGGCAAACCCGCAACACAGCTGCGTATTTACAGTTACATCCCCGGTCACCAGCTATACATCGAGCTTATGGGCACCGTAAAGGGTTCAACGCTCATGTACCTCACCTACGTACACTGTAAATCAGAGTATGATACTGAGTACACTTGTTTTGTGATACAAAAATATTGCACGATGCTGAGTTCAAAGTCAAACGGGAGAAATGCGTGCTAAAAATGTGATTGCTTCGTTTTGTAAATTTCCAAGCCTAGTTTTCCTCGCTGTGGCGGTGGGGTGCCCAGCGCCCACCACTGGCGGCGCGGAGTGGGGGGCCGCAGACACATTCCCGAAAGTGTCCCGCCGGACTGACGGGTGGTGTCGCACCGCCCATTACCAAGAGCCGGCCCGGGCCAGCCACCACCATCAGCACGCTCCGCTTCTCTCTCTCTCTCTCTCTC